AAAAAAAAAAAAAAAAAAAAAAAAAAAAAAAAAAAGTATGTGCAGCGAAAGAAAAAACTCTTACACATATTTCTGTTCAAAAGAAAAAAAAAGTCAAGGAGAAACATGATAAAACCAAACAAATTAACTAATTGGCTAAAATGAAAATATGCTAGCTGGAGTAGATACAAAAAAAAAAGAAAAAAGAAAAATTTGTAAGTTTTATAAACCCACACTGTAATACAAAAATTATTGTCACATATGACGAATTGAAAAAGAAAAAAAAGAAGATAAGTTAACAGCAAGCAAAACAACGATTCGTCGATGTGTGAAGATGTGAATGTATATATACCAACCTTCTAAAGCAGGCTTCATATATATTTGAGTTAGAAAGAAGAGATTAGGGGCCACAAACTAAAATCAGAAACATGGGTCAAAAAAGAAGTCTTTCCTGCTAGAAAAAACTAAAAATTTTCAGTCCATCAATTCCTTCTTCACTTTTGACTAATTTATCACTTCCTTGCCTAAGCTGTTTTCTCCATCCTTCAATTCTTCCATGTATATTTATATATATTTATATTTATATATTTGAACTGTTCAAAATTGAACAGCACATTTTCGCGCTTTTGGGCAGTTCTCTCGACGAGACAACGACATCCGATGCCGGCCTTCCTCCTTTCTCTGCGCCCTCTGTACTTCAATGCACTCTTTTAGCTTTCATTAATGACCACGTACGAACTTTAAGCGCGCCATATTTGAAAACTGGTGCGGCAGCAGTTCGGTGAACAGTTCAAAAACGGTTCGTTGTGCCGCCTATTATCCCTCGGGTGCTCCATTTGTTACACGATAAGCAGACATTGAAGCAGAATTACTTCCTACAGTATCAGGTGTTGCTTGTGATTCAGTAAATTCCAAACACAGTTTTGATGACACGTTCAAATATCAATTATGAAGCCGTGTTGAACATCGTCGACAATTTCTTCGAGACAATCAGCTTCACTCAATTTAGAACAACATCAATTTTCCTTTGAAAAAAAAAAAAGCAGTTTTATACACAATGCTAGGTTTTCAAAATGTACACAAATGGTTACATTGATTTACTGCCCTCTGAATACATATATGATTTTTTTCACGCAGCTTGTATTGCAGTCTAACGGAATACCTTTTACCTGATGGCAGCAGTCAAGCGGGGATGCCGTGTGAAAATTGTTCACAGTGTGGTAATTGGGAAACGGAAATTAACGACAGTGGAGT